GTCCATGGTGAAAGCCGATCCGGCGATCCACAGCGCAAAGTTGTAGTATTTCCTCAGCGACCAGCACGGATCAGCTCCAGGCATGACGAAGCAGATATCGTCCTCTTTTGGAAGACCAAACAAAGTAGTTTCGCTTTCACAATGAAGCACACAGTCTTTACGACATGGCGGTGGCGGCGGCAACAATACTACAGCGAGAATAAAGTTTTTTTTATTTGGGCGGCGTTATGCAAATCTTCCCACATAGTGAGGTAGACATGAGGGCCGTGTTAGAACGAGCCGTTTTAGGTAGGTGTGGCTGACTCTTAACTTTTATAAAGAATATCTCTTGGGATTTGAGACTTTAGTCTTTGCAACTTTACAGATCTTCTTTATTCACCAAGAGCTTGTAACTCTCCAAAGAGAAAGGAACAATTGAAATCGCATCATATGACCCCTTTAAATGGTACAAGAAAGTCTTGATTGTGATTTCAGGAGGTCTTAAATTTGGGGAGGATAGACGAGAATTGCGATACGTCTGAATGTGACGATTAAACTTCAAAAAGCTGTGATTTCATTGAATAAACATGAACTCTGCTGTTACCGGGGAAACCACTGTATTTCTGCTGTTCTGACAGCACCTCCTGCTGGCAGAGAATGAATGTGCATTTTCAATAATTTTTGTTCAGACCAATGTGAAAATCAACCCATGTTTTTAGATTAGCCTCTAACACACACACTGGCGAGTAAAATCTAAGAATTTATTAGCCGATGGCTAACGGTAGACATTATTTAGTCGCCCAGAGTAAGATTTACTCGCATAGTAGAGGGTTGTCAATTTTATTTTATTTGTGCAGGTCTTTAAAAAAGTCTTACATTTGAGTTTAAGTATCCTGCAGATACCCTGGTCTAGTAAAAACCATCAGTTCATGTTTTTATTCTCATATTTTACACTCACCAGTCTCAGATTGACTAACAGTGAAGTAAATATTTCAGCAGGCTACGCTTTAGTGTCCCATTACTATACTAGCATAAAATGTCTTTATGACTTTAAAATGAATAATGCATTCAAATAATAGAAAAAGTATTCGTTGGATGCAGTCACTCCTTGTTCTTGCTGGATAACAAGTGATCCAGCAGACAGCATGATATTTCAGATAAACAACTAAAACTACAACGCAATGGTGAGTGTATGAAGTGATGGAGACAAAGTCACAATTGTGTAAAAAGTGACGGGAACTTTTGTCCCACCTATCCCAACATGTAAATGAGCTTATGCTACTAAAACCAGTGTCAACTGTACTAAGGAACATTTCAAGGTTTACTTTTTGTTTTAATGAAATGTTTTCAGAGGAATTGTAATTAAATCATGCAAGGCATGTGTGCTATTCTGTGTTAACTATGAAGGAAACAGAATAACTTTTCAAGCAGTTCAGACAAATTTCCAGGTTAATCCACCGCCCACGTTCGGTTTTATCTGAATACAGACACAAATAATTTTGCCATCGCAGGTTGATCATTATAGTGTTGAATGCATTCATTAAACACAGCTGTTCAACCCTGTTACCAAACATACTGTACGAATATTAAACACTTTATAATTTATTTTATGGGATAAAAAGTTTATCTGTAAATACAAACCAAGTTTTATTCCCAAAGCAGCTAATCCCTGCTGGGTGACCACTTAACTTCTGAACCTGCAGCTCTATTATCAATGCCGCTTAGTTGTAATTCTATGCATTTTTATTTAAAATAGAAAATAAATCACACAAGTGTTTGAAAGGGCTTAAACTGTAATCACACACGTCCCAAATGCTGTCAATAGGGCTCCAAAGTGCAAGCAGAAACTAAATCACTCATAATATACAGTAGTTTGAGTTTCTGAGGTTGTTGATCAGCATTTCCTGAAGGTTACGCGCCTTTGACCTTTTGCTGGAGAAGAAAGAAAATGATTTTAATTGTACGGTGTGCCCTCTTGCGTCCAGTAACCGCTCCGCTGACACTCTTCCCACAGTTACTCCATCAAGGACCTGCTGAATCACGCGTTCTTCGCAGAGGACACCGGCGTGAGGGTGGAGCTGGCGGAGGAGGACGACGGCTTGAAGACGTGCATCGCGCTGAAGCTGTGGGTGGAGGATCCCCGCAAGCTGAAGGGCAAGTACAGGGACGGAGGAGCCATCGAGTTCAGCTTCGACCTGGAGAAGGAGGTCCCTGAAGCCGTGGCGCAGGAGATGGTGCGTGTTTGAGCGATTTGACCACCGTAATGAGATCAAAGAGAAATGATTGCATTTGTCATTGAATCCAGCTTCCTAACAGAACTGTTCAGTTTCAAAATAACGTAATGTAAATGTAAATGTAGTAAACAAGATTTAACTGTGGTATGTGAACACCACAAACACAAGCGGTGTGTTTCATGGCCCATGAAATCTGATGTTGTCTTCCTGTTTCACTGGTATCTTATCTATCCACACTGATCTAGAGATATTTCCAGTCTGTATTGTGAAACACAGGATTTAATGGAATAATGTCCTGGCCAGCAGTGAATTATTCTGTTAGAGCGGTGGGTGATATGTTCATGAATTAACTCCTTTCTATCCTCTTGTAACCTCTGCTCGTTAGGCCATTTTCCCTTTCAGGTTTTATTTGGCCACTTGAGTCCTGTGTTTGGTCACACTTGTTGAGACTTCATGAAAACCACCCTCGCTTTCTCAGGAACTCTGGATCACCTGCTGTAGTTCTTACCAAAACCGGTTTGGAGATTTTAATACAGGACACACTTATGTTGAGCAGTCAAAGCCACTTGAGCGCATTATATATGCTCAAACATGCGCTTAAGGACAGTATGTGACCTCCTGGACCCGTTTGGATTGAAAAATCTTGTTGCTGTAATCACACATTATGTAATCGGAGCATTTTAATGTTTGCTAAAGAGAAAATGAGTCGGCAGCTGCTATTTATACGGATCGCTGCAAACATAACAAAGGTTTTCTTGTTTCACCCTGTCAGCCATTTGTTCACTAGACAGGTATTGATCTTTCCGTTTTGCCGTTCTACACAAAAACCTTCATGGATGAATCTCACAAAAGCGCAAAATTAATGTTAGGGTAATTAATGTCCTTTTTTTTTTTTTTTTTTTTTTGACAGTTTTCCTCTGTAATGTGAGAAGATCTGCAAAGTATTGTGCATCCATAGTTTTTAAATCCTTTTTTGATTATGTATTAAAATGAAATAATACAATGTAGTGCAATGAGAATTGCCAGAATCAAATATTTTATATTTAATATAATATGTTTAAATGTGACCCTGGAGCACAAAAGCAGTGTTAAGTCGCTGGGGTATATTTGTAGCAATAGCCAAAAATACATTGTATGGGTCAAAATTATAAATTTTTCTTTTATGTCAAAAATCATTAGGATAGTTAGTAAATAAAGATCATGTTCCATGAAGATATTTAGTAAATATCTTACCATAAATATATCAAAACTTAATTTTTGGTTAGTAATATGCATTGCTAAGAACTTCATTTGGACAACTTTAAAGATGATTTTCTCAATATTTAGATTTTTTTGCACCCTCAGATTCCAGATTTTCAAATAGTTGTATCTCGGCCAAATATTGTCCTTTCCTAACAAACCATACATCAATGGAAAGCTTATTTATTCAGCTGTCAGATGATTTATACAATCTCAATTTAAATGTGACCCTGGAGCACAAAAGCAGTGTTAAGTCGCTGGGGTATATTTGTAGCAATAGCCAAAAATACATTGTATGGGTCAAAATTATAAATTTTTCTTTTATGTCAAAAATCATTAGGATAGTTAGTAAATAAAGATCATGTTCCATGAAGATATTTAGTAAATATCTTACCATAAATATATCAAAACTTAATGTTTGATTAGTAATATGCATTGCTAAGAACTTCATTTGGACAACTTTAAAGATGATTTTCTCAATATTTAGATTTTTTTGCACCCTCAGATTCCAGATTTTCAAATAGTTGTATCTCGGCCAAATATTGTCCTTTCCTAACAAACCATACATCAATGGAAAGCTTATTTATTCAGCTGTCAGATGATTTATACAATCTCAATTTTGAAATTGACTGGTTTTGTGGTCCAGGGTCACATATTTCAGCTTATTTTTATTTACAGTTTTTATAAAAAAGCAACCATGATTTCATTCTTCTATTTTTTAAACAATTGTTCTTGTCGTTAGTCATATTTGGTGGATTTTTCTTCTGTATTAGTGCAGTGTGTCTAGTTTAATCTTTCCTCCAAAGACAGTTTTCCTTTAATTCTGTGATCTGCGTTCTTCTGTTCCTTAAATAGAGCTCTCGCTTCTGCTCTAAAAGTGCGTGTTCACACCAGCCCCCTCTCATCCTTCCATCAGGTGGAGTCTGGTTTCTTCCATGAGAGCGATGCAAAGATAGTGGGCAAGTCTCTCCGTGACCGAGTGGCTCTGATCAAGTGGCGCAGGGAGAGGACGGTGCCGAGGGCCTCCCAGGCCGTGCCAGGCGAGACGGGGCCCGTCCTCTGTGAACCGCCCAGTCTGCTGGAGCCTGAAGAGCCGGAGGTGGATCAACATGTCCTCGTGTGTCCGCTCGGTGCCAGGACCACCTCCACCACATGTAAGCCTGCGTGTTTGTGAAGGTTTGGGGTTAAATACAGCTTCAGCTCTATGGAGAGAGTCTTCCACGTCATGCTGTTTACCGAAGAAAACAACACGCATTAAGCACTTAATAATATACTGAATCTTTGTTAACACCCAAATAATCACAGAAGTACACTAATGCATTTGGTCAAATATGAACCATTATTAATAACTGAGCAGCAAATCAGTATATTATACTGATTTCTGAAGATCATGTGACACTGAAGACTGGATTAATGATGCTGAAAATACAGCTGCGCATCACAGGAATAAATTACAGTTTAACAGATATTCACATAGAATGCTCTAAATACTAAAAAAAACTATTCAAATATCAGACTGTTGTTAAAATATGAACATGAGTCACAGACTCCCTTACAAACATAGTTTGTGTAACAATCTCCAGTCATTTTACTCATTTTGTTACCATGTAAACTAAGGGACGAGTGATTCTGTCGTGTGTTTGGTGCAGAATATTCCTAGTATGTGTTTGTCTTCTCTCTGTGTCTCTCTAGCTGACAGTGGCATCGGCTCAACCGTGTACTCGGACTCCTACAGCAGTGGTCTGCACAGTGTCATACACCAGTCATTACAGGAATCTGTCTCCACAGCAAACCAGCAGGTCCGTATCACTCCCCATCACTGTTGCTGATGCACGTCAGAAAGCATAGTGATCTGTGAAGTTTGCATTGCCCTGCTAGCGTGTGAAGTGGACACATGCATGCTTGCTTGTACTTGCATAGCTTTTAAATATAGACCATAATTTTATCATACTGACACAATGTTTGCAGCTCTGTAACTGGACCGTGTTTTCACCTTGTCATCAACCACTTAATTTTTGCCTGGTGGTTTCATTATTTACCTTATGTAGCATGCATGAAGACGGTCTGTGTTTCATTAGTCTGTTTTGTTAGTGGTGTTGGCTAATGCAGGCGTCACTATCACTGGTGCTCACACTCATCTGTGCTCCAGACATGATTCCTTAAAGTTATGCAGCTTGTTGAGGAGAGATGTGCTGTTGTTACTTTTATAAGCTATCAGATGTAACATTTTCATCTGGATGATGATAAAATTACAAAAATAAATAAATAAATAATAAAATAAATAAATCTATGTCTACAGAGCAGAATATCATAGAGATTATTTTAAACAACTGTCATTTTAAAAGTGGGATATCTACACCTGGAAAAAGCTATTGCAATTAAAATCCTAAACACTATATTTTTGTAATGAATATAGTGTATTGTACACACAAAAACATTTGAGCCTATTCAAACATCATTCAATTTTCCTCTAAAAATGTACAAATCTAGTTTGTTGTGTCCTTTATTTGTTGTGTGTTTTTAGCTCTGTGCTTCAGGTCCTTGTTTGCCATTCCATGATAATAGTTCAGAGAAGTGGCTTTTCTTCCAGGGTGCACGTCATGAAGGCACTTCTGTAAATGAGTTAATCAGAAGTCACGAGCGTCTCTGTTTCCTGCTCCGACCCACGAGTACTTCCTCCTTTCAAATACCACGAGACCAATCAGAGATGACAGAAGATGCATTCGGAAGTTCTTGCAATGGAAATTTGCTGCGCGCTCCTTGGCCTGTTACGACTCGTCGCTATAGCGACACATCAGTGGGGCCATCCTCTGAGACAAAAGGGGAGGAATCTGTCTCCATGGCAAGGCAGGGGCGTCGGCTTTCGTTAAGCCCCACCTCTCAGCAGCCACCGCCCCCGTGTCAGACCTACCTGTCGTTATTCCTGCTTGGGACATGTGCAGATAGAAGACATTCGCCCTATTCTTCATTTATGCTTCCGCACATCCCTGATGTCCGCAGGGGCTCCTTCAGTGAGACCTCTGACCTCTCCCAGCTTAACAAATCTCTGGAGAGCATCACAGGCCACAAACATCAGCCTGCTCCTGCCTTTCTGAGAGCCCCGCCGATGATGTCCGAAAGAGTCAGCCACAGCAATGACCTGACATCCCGTCGCAGAGCGAGCTTTTGTGCCGGCGAGCGCTCTGTGACTGACGCGGTAGGTCGCTCCGCCGGAGGACACGGTGTCACCCTGCTGCTTGTAGAGGAAATGCTCTGGATTCCTCCAGCCTTTGCAGTGGTTCTGCTGTCGCTCCCAGGTGCCTGTAGGACTCTTCTCCTCTATGCTTCCTCTCAGTGGCTGTAACCGTACTTACCTGTCTCTACTGCTATTCTCTAACAGAGGAGATCCCAACAATCCATTTTCCTCCCCGAAAACCTAACCTACGCTTACGATATGTCTGATGTCATGATGCTAAACTTCTTTATTAATCGTTTCAAGCTTTCATTTGACCTGGTTGTGTGTGGTCTGCATGGCTCTGTGTTACTCACTGTAGTAGCTGTCGGCGTGTGCTGTTTTATTCGTACACAACAATCCAACATACTAGACTTTGGGCCAGATTTACCAACAGCTTGCGGCAACACAAACTTTAGGCTTTAAAAAATTTCTGTCAGGAATTACTAAAGACATGCGGTAAAAAATAAGTGATGAAAAGGTATGGACAAAGTTATTTTTGCATATGCATTTGTAGGAGTTTCCCTTTCAGATGCAAAGGGAGGAGAGTATTCATGGCGATTTAGTAAGGTTTCTGCTAGTCAGTTTACAGGTGTTTGCACCATTATTTAACGCCCCCAAAAAAGCATGTCTTAACCCATTGTGTGCCTGTGTTGTTAGTAGATTACCTGCAGCTGATTATCATCGGCTCTATTTGTTTGCGACCTTATGCTAATTTGCACTGCTCTTGGTAGATTGCGTTGGTCATTATGAAGATGAACTGTGTTCTTTAATTTGTGCATTGTCTGAAGATCAACCGCAGAACTTTCCACTCCCATCAGTGCTTTTATGGGATTGTGGTCTAAAGCAAATTTGCCCTGTTTAGTAAATCTGGCCTATAGTTTGTGTAATGGAACGGAAGTGTATGTGGGTTCTCATTAGTTTGTTTCCTCTTCTGCAGTATTCTGTTCTGAGAGTCCAAAGCCAGGCTGCACCGGCTGCAGCTCAACACATGCAGATGTACCCTCCTGTCTCCTCAGAGTCCCCCGCGCAGGCCACCGGACAGATTCTGTCCACTCCCCAGCCGCTGGCACTTCTGCAGGGCGTCTCAACTGCACCACAAACCGTGAATCCACAGCAGCTTGCATCTACAAGTCAGACTGCAGAGTTGAACACGCATCCGAGTGCCACGCATAGTGCCACGCATTCGAGTTACCATCCTGCCGCAGCAGAGCTAGCCATTGCACACACATTTCCACCCATGCAGCACACTGAACTCAGTCTCCCATCTAAAACAGAAGCAGTGCTGCCTGCAGATCAGAGTTTTCAGAGCGGAGCATCTGCACAGCCTCAACAAACACCTGTGTTACAACATTTGCAGCAACCAACTGCGAATGCCACAACAGATGGGCAACACCGCAACTTCTCAAACGTGCAGCAAACTGCTCCTGTGCAGCTGAGCCAGACCAGCCCTGCACCACCTGTCCCACAGGTATGCTTGTTTGTCATTTATTGTTTTTATCTTTTATGTGAACCCTGCATGCAATTCCCAGCTGTTTGAAAACCTGCGCTCAATACCACCTTCAGATGTGAAACCTATCATCATATCTTATATCTTGAGCAAGTAGTAAACTGAACGGGATAAATGTATAAAAATCAAATTACTATACACAAAAGCAGTTTCAATGTTGGAGAAATTTTTTTTTTACTATTCTGTAATTGTAAGACCAGATCATTTGTACCCAAAGGCCACTCCAGACATACGTTTCTAATATCTGACAGTTCACAGTCTCTGAAGCCTATTTTATTGGCTTTAGGTATGATTCAGTTTAGGATATTGTGACGTGTACATTCCCGGAAGAAAACGTCTCCAGGTTACGTATGTAACCATGGTTCCCCGAAGGGAACGAGACGCTGCGTCGAAACGCTACGGCAACGCCTCCAGCGTGACCACGCTCTGAATCACATGTGTAATCAGTCCAATGGATGGGCGAGACGTCACGGGTGGGGTGACATAGCGACCAGGAAGCTTAAAAGCATGTGCAGTGAAACCGGCGTCAGCTTCTAGGAGTGACACAAGCGCTGGCAGGGATGCCAGAAGTATGGCCCTGAGACACAGCATCTCGTTCCCTTCGGGGAACCATGGTTACATACGTAACCTGGAGACGTTCCCCTTCAGGAACTCGAGCTGCGTCGAAACGCTACGGGAACGAGAATGCCCACGCCGCCAAACTTGCAAATCCCTGCCTAGTGTGGAACAACTGATGCGAGAGAAAAGAGAGCCAGGAATGGCTAAAGTAGGTGGGGCCCGCCGTCCCGAAGGCCAACTTCTGGAGGAGTGAGCCTTGAACCCTGAAGGAGAGGGGAGATCAGAGGGCTCAAGGCTATGGAATAGCATCCTGATCCACCACTTAGCATAAGCTTCTCTGGCCGGAGGCCTTGGCCTCAGCGCACCGCAGAGGAAACGTGTAAGAAGAGGGTGTCTTCCCACTGAATGGCCACCGAGAGGGGCGGGGTAGGCCGCAATGGCCGCCACGAAGACCTCTAGGGTGGAGTGGGTCAACTCTGTGCATAAACAGGCCTGCAGGAACTCCAGAACTGCACCAAACGGGCAGTTAGCTGGGTCGAGCTGGCGGTCTCCGCACCAAGAAATACAGTTTCCTCATAGAGGGAACTCTGGAAGGAGGATGGTCTCAACAACCTCGGTTGAGAGACCAGAAGCTATGAGTTGTGCCTCCTCAGAGGCCACACCCACAGCTTCCACAGCTCCGGGCGGGGGCACACCCTCCGCCTGTGTGAGGACATCTCTCCTGACGGGACTCTCCCATGGAGCGCCGTTGAGGAGAGGAATCAGGTCCGAGAATCATACTCGGCCCGGCCAGAACGGGGCTACTGGCAGTCGATTGACCTCGTTCCAGCGCACTCTCTCCAGAACTCCCGGGAGCAGAACAATTGGGGGAAAGGTGTAAAGACGAAGCCTCGGCCACGTCTGTACCATGGCATTCAGCCCCAGTGGAGCTGGATGAGTCAGAGAGAGAACCAACAAGTCCACCTGAGCCTGGCCAAAGACTCTCCAAGTCTGCTTCACCCCTCGGGGTAAGGTTTCTAATCCCCGGGCCCCGGCCCCTGCCTCGACAGGATGTCTGCCCCCACATATATAAAAGACCACTGCTGTGTTGTCGGTGTGCACCAGCACATAGCGATCTCTTAGGCCTGGGAGGAAGTGTTCCACTCATGAAACCGGTGAAAGATGCATCTGTCGCTAGCATATGCGGCGACCAGGAGCTCCCAGCACCAGGCCCTGACATCCTGACATAGGTTTCCTTCACATGTCTATAAGAACCAAGGTTTCCTTCACATGTCTAAGGCACGTAAGCCACCACTGTAGGGGTCTCATGTACAGCAGGTCAAAAAGTAACCACATTGGACGCGGCTGCCATCAGACCCAGCAGTCTGGAACTGCTTGACAGTGAGTGACCGGCCTTCTCTCACTCTCGCGATCGACTCAATCCGAGCAAGAGACATACGTGCCTACATCGTGGTTGAATCCCACACCACACCACCAGATAAGTGGTTCTCTGTACTGGAGAAAGCACACTTCTCTTGGCATTAAGTCTTAACCCCAGCTCTTTCGTGTGAGCGAGAACGACATCTCGATGTCGAACTGTCATCCTCTCTGATTGAGCTAATATCAACCAATCGTCGATGTGGTTGAGTCGTGAAGAGACGTTCCCCTTCAGGAACTCGAGCTGCGTCGAAACGCTACGGGAACGAGAATGCCCACGCCGCCAAACTTGCAAATCCCTGCCTAGTGTGGAACAACTGATGCGAGAGAAAAGAGAGCCAGGAATGGCTAAAGTAGGTGGGGCCCGCCGTCCCGAAGGCCAACTTCTGGAGGAGTGAGCCTTGAACCCTGAAGGAGAGGGGAGATCAGAGGGCTCAAGGCTATGGAATAGCATCCTGATCCACCACTTAGCATAAGCTTCTCTGGCCGGAGGCCTTGGCCTCAGCGCACCGCAGAGGAAACGTGTAAGAAGAGGGGGTCTTCCCACTGAATGGCCACCGAGAGGGGCGGGGGAGGGCGCAATGGCCGCCACGAAGCCCTCTAGGGTGGAGTGGGTCAACCCTGCAGATAAACAGGCCTGCAGGAACTCCAGAACTGTACCAAA